AAGAGTGAATTGTGTGAAAAAGAATAGTGCATTTATTATATTCTGGTGAGTACTTAATCAATAAAGTTTTGCTTTTTAACGGTTATGCCGTTTGAATGTAATATATTTCATACCAAATAACTACCAGTATAACTGTTCTTAATGTATGTAAAAAATCATTAGAAACACGTGGTTGTTAGAGGTTAGAATGTTTGAACTTCGATTATAATTGATCTTGGTTAATTTTGTTTATGTATTTTCTATTTTGATATTAAATTCCTTTCTCGTGAAAAGTAACGTACATATTTTAGTGGTAGCTGGCTAAAAAAAAAAAAAAAAAAATTATGGATAATATTAATGAAGAGATAGTGCAAACTGTCACTGATGCCGGTCCAAGTAGGGCTCGTAAACGTCGAAGCGGATCGAGTAGTAACAGCCGCCGAAATAACTCAAAGCGAAGTAAGCATGACCCTCGATTGAACAAACTGATTCAGGATATGAGTGATTTACTAAACCTCGTTTCGGAGTTTATAATATCTGGTAAAAATAATCAGCCTTGTAATGGCAATATTGAAATTCACTCGGAGATTAGTGGTGATCTCTATGAACAATGTCATACTGAGAGACAAACGGTACATTACAATGAGGGCCATAATTCCGATTGCGAGTTAAGTTTCACATTCGATATTGAAACTAAGTTAAAGGAACCCTCGGTTCCCGAAACACCTGAGAAGTTTTTAAAAATGTTACGCGAGGTCCAACGCTTAGGCAGTACTTCTTGGTCAGACGTAAGATACGCTGACACACAAAAGACTTATAACTACTCTCCAGGTTTCGTAGACCTTGATACAAATGAAGAGGTAAAAATATACGACACCTTACGTCACTTATCGAACACCGAAAAATCTTATGCAGCCATAACTTTTGCATTTTAAAACAAAAAAGTATTACAGGAGAATATCCGTACTCTTCTTAACTGGCCACTACATACAGAATTAAATTTTGAAAATTTGAGTAGTAAAATAAAAGACTTCAATCCAAAACGGTGAATTGCATAAGGTTTCTTCGGACCTTCTTCAATTAGTTCGCGGTCATCGTGCTAAAACTATTGAAATACGCCGGGAATCAATTACAAGTCAAATAAGAGATCCTTTTATAAAAAAGCCTCGCTAATCAGACCATCCACAACTTATATATTTGAGTCTGAACCATTTACTGCCGTATTAGAAAAGGCTGGGGGCGTTCGCAAAGTGTTTTGGCCTGCTAAATCAGATATATTCTCGCAAGCTAAATCCAATCAAATCAATAGCCGCCCCTCGCGGGGGCAAAGCATACGAAGACCAGTTGCAGTTCCATCGCGTGGAACTTACATAACCCCTCAAGGACAATACAATTCCTTTACTAACTACCCTCCCTCGCGGGGTGGTCACCACAATAATGATCAAAACAGAGGTCAAAGCAATTACTTTCAATATGAGAGCCGTAATGTCAATGGACGAGGCTCCTTTCATAGCCGCCCCTCGCGGGGGCAAAGCATACGAAGACCAGTTGCAGTTCCATCGCGTGGAACTTACATAACCCCTCAAGGACAATACAATTCCTTTACTAACTACCACCCACCCTCGCGGGGTGGTCACCACAATAATTATCAAAACAGAGGTCAAAGCAATAACTTTCAATATGAGAGCCGTAATGTCAATGGACGAGGCTCATTTCACAATCGAGGCTCGCGGCCCGAACGCGGGAATAATCATGAACGCTACAATGTTCCAAGAAGTGGCAGAGGAAATACAAACAATGACAGGTTGACATTCCAAGCACCCGCTTGGAATGGCAATTTGCCATTGTGGAAGGAAAAACTCCAGCTGACCCCAGCTGGAGTTTTTCCTTCCACAATGACAGAGAATGGGGGCCCCGCAAATAATTTTAAAGTTGACTCAGGCATATCGCATTCCGTTTGCTCGAATCCCCCCACTTGTATATCCAATGTCAAAAGATCAGTTTTACACTCGCGTCTCACGAGAGATGTCTGCTGTAATATACAAAATGAAAAACAAAGGCGTTTTAAAAGTAGTGCAGCGCTCTCCAAGCTTTGTATCCCCAATGTTTCTGGTCTCGAAGCCCGACGGATCGGCTCGTCAAATATTCAATCAGAAAGCGTTAAACGGTTACGTGATGAGCGAAACATTTCACTTGATAAACATGTATCGCATTCCGGATTTTTTGCAGGCCCAAGATTGGCTATGCAAAATAGATCTTCCCAAGCCTATTTTCATTTGAGTATAGCAAAGTCGCACAGACGATTTCTACGCCTTGTATACGACCAAGAACTCTTAGAAATGACATGTCTCCCTTTTGGGTTAAGCACAGCGCCCAAAACCTGCGCTATACTGACGAATTGGGTGGCTCAAATGCTACGAATAAAAATGAATATAAGAATCCTAGTTTATCTAGACGGCTTTCTGATTGTAAATCAAAACCAGAACAAAAATCTGTTGCAACGTTAAAAGATTTGCAGAAAATAGTAGGTTATTGAATTTCGCCAGTTTTGTAATTCCTCGAGGGAGACTCAATCATCGACAGATACTGATGTTAATGCACTCGCTCCCACAAAAACCAGCTACACATCAAGAACCAGACAATATTCTCCAGGAACTAAAGTGGTGGTTAAAGAATTGCCGGTCGTCATCACTGATACATTTTCCACCTCCAACAAACTTTCTCGTGACGGACGCGTCAGATCAGGCGTGGGGGGCACTACTAAATGGCCAGACTCTCTCCGGTGTCTGGTCTCAAAAAGAGAAAGCATTACACAGCAACCAAAAAGAAATGCTGGCTATATTTTACGCTCTTCAAAGCCAAGCCCAGTTGCTGCAGAAAAGTTCGCTTCTCATTCAATGCGACAACAAGACGGCAGTTGCTCATCTACGAAAAGGAGGTACAAAGTCGCTTCCTCTAATGAAAATAACTTATCAAATTCTAGATTTATTAGATCAGCACCAAATTTACGTCAGTATGCACTATATCCCAGGCAAGTACAACAATCATGCCGATCATCTGTCACGACTGAAACAACTGCCGGAATGGCATCTATTACCAGCTTGTGTGGACAAAGTGTTTGCAAAGTGGGGAACCCCAATGATCGATCTGTTTGCATCAAAAACCGCGCATGTAATTTGCAATTACGTGTCCCGCGACCTGAAGGACCGTCAAGCATTATATCACGACGCATTCAGTGTCTACCACCCATGGGACTACCCACTGGCGTAGATATTTCCACCTCCATTTCTCATTCCGAAAGCACTTGCGCACGTGAACCAGTCATCGGGCATATTCCTAGTAGTTGTTCCACGTTGGGAAATGGTGTTTTGGAGAGCGGATCTGAGATCCAGAGCACTGACAGCACCATTTACTCTGAAAAATCCTCAGACACATCTAATCGACACGTCAACGGGGCTTCCACCTGTGATGGTCGAGGACATAACTCTCGAAGTTTGGAAATGTGGGGGTGGTCGTCCGCGATAGACTCGTGGAACACTGAACAATTAGGTTTGCTTAAATACTCTTGGCGGAAGTCTACTATTAAAACTTATGAAGTAATTTGGAAACGTTGGATTTCTTGGGCTAATTTTAATAAAGTCGATCCAAAAAAAAAAAACTGGGGCACAGTAAGCACAATTTCTATCGGATTTGTATTTGATTAATAAATTGTCATTTAATACAATACTGTTACATAAGTCTGTAGTTTCCACACTGTGTAATACTGAAACATCGAGTCGTCTTAGCTCTCATGTATTGGTAAAACATATTTTAAAATCGATTGCTCTTAAAAAACCAATCATTTCCAAACCACCGATATGGAACGTTAGTGAGTTAAAATCATTTTTAACTAATTATACAATAGACATCAATAATTGGTTTCAAATATCGCGTCATACCGCGATATTGTTATTACTTTGTTCCGGTAGACGTATACATGACCTTACGTTGCTAACAGTAGATGCGGAGCATTGTATTATATCGGATGAAAGTATAATATTTTGGCCACAATTTGGCTCTAAAACAGATAGCAGCAATTATCGACAATCGGGTTGGAAACTCTTGCCAAATATTAATCATCGTAATTTAAATCCCCTATTTTGGATTCAAAAAATGATAACATCATTGACTGAAAGACTAATTGCAGCAAAATCATGAAATCTATTTTTAACCATAAAAGGTGTGGCTAAGCCTGCCAGTCGAACAGTGATAGCAGGTTGGGTAAAAACCTTGTTCAAAGAAGTAGGCATTGGTGCAGCCCCTGGAAGTTGTTCCAAAAGCTGGATTGAAAACCATCCCTGTGACGAAATACTAGCCCGAGGAAATTGGCGATCTGCCAATACATTCCAGCGGTACTACAGACGAGAAGTAGTACCTAATAATCAATCTAAAAATTTAATTTGATTAGAAAAACTAATTCATAAACACATTTTGATTACGTGAAATTTGTAATAATTTCAGTCTTCATAATAATTATGATATTCAATTATTTTTGTCGGAAAATAAATATATATATATATAATTCATTCATACATTTTATTATTATTTACCCTATCGTCACATTGGCGTTTCTATAATAATAAGAAATTACAAATAGCGACACCAGGCGATAACAAACAGATCTCATAATAAAGCTTCCAGTGACGGTCTAGTGTTTTAATAGCAGCGTTTTACCTGAAATAAAACGCATATTAAAATACTTACCTCACTGGAAGCTTTCACTTTATATCTGCCTGGTGCATATTCAATGAGCCAATGATAAAAATGGCGCCCCAAACGTTTTACATCAACTAAAAGCGCACGACCGCCAGGTGTCGCTACTGGACCGGATGTACAAGGTACTAAAAAGAGGGTAAACTGGTAGAACTATGACGGAAACGGAAATGCCTTCTCATAATAAAGCTTCCAGTGAGGTTAGTATTTTAATATGCGTTTTATTTCAGGTAAAACGCTGCTATTATCATAGAATAATTATGTAGTTTTTAAATGTTAAGAAAATTCTGAGAGGTTAACAGCGATTCCGATTCAGCGAATTGGTTATCAGCATTTGATGTTTCTGCTGGTGATGGTCGATTAGTCGATTCCAAAGTTGGTGACGGTGGCGCAGGTGGCGATGAAACAGTTGATGTACTTGTAGTATACCCATATTGTTGTGGCTCATTGTAATATTCACGTGGAAAATAGACATTTGGTGAATCATTTCCCATATCTGCCTGGAATATTATATTATTAATGGCATGTTTGACACAGGCCAAGGTACCTTTATCGTATTTTTTTAGTTCGTTGGCAATATGCAATCCATAACTTGTGTACGGGTCATCATTGTCCGCTGTTTTCTTCAAAAGTTCATATGCACTCTTTACCATTGGATTGTCATAATCTATTTTCTTTTTCTTAGCACTTTTTTGATTTGGAGGGAGCATTTCACTGCTTGCTTCATTGTCATTAATGCCTTGATTATCAGCATTTTCAACATCCAAAACGTCTTTGGTTCGGTTGTCCTGTGAAAAAAAATTAATTGATGCATTGTAATTTGTTAATGGTTTGTTATTCTGCTTCAGGTTCCTCGAGGGGGTCCGTAGCTGTAGAGGAAAACGGTCTTGACAAGGAGCCGTCCTAAGTGCTTGTCACCTTTCAGTTCAGTTCAGTTCAGGTTCCTCGAACAGAAAGTGAATGGCTAGATATATCACGAAACTTGGAAAAAAAGTGGAACTACCCTCATTGTGTTGGGGTAATGGATGGCAAGCATATTCAAATCATAGCACCGCCTCATAGTGGAGCTGAATATCGAAACTATAAAGATTTCTTTAGTATTGTATTATTTGCGGTAGTATATGCTGACTATAATTTTATATATGTTGATGTTGGATGTAAGGGTAGAATTTCTGATGGAGGTGTATTTAAACATACCAATTTATATAGAGAACTTGAAAATAAAACTTTGAATATTCCGCCACCAAAGATATTGCAAATTCCTTATAATGTAAAAGTACCTTATTGTATTGTAGGAGACAACGCTTTTGCTCTTAATGAATATACAATGAAACCATTTGCTGGTAATAATTATATACGAGGTTCTCTCGAACGAATTTACAACTATCGACATTCAAGAGCTAGACGAGTCGTCGAGAATGTATTTGGTATTATCGCATCCGTTTTCAGATTATTACGTAAACCGATTGCAATGGACACTAATAATGCGGTTTCAGTTGTAATGGCTATTACGCATTTGCATAACTTCATGCGTCAAAGAAACTATACCAGAGAATACTACTGTCCCATTGGGATTTTTGATAGGGAAGAAAATGGCGAGATAATTCCAGGTACATTCAGGACCGATGAGCCATTCCAATTCTTCTTTTCTTTGCCACACGTACGCAGGAGATCTAACAACCAAATCAAAGAAATTCGTTTGCGTATCGCACGGCATTTTATAACAAATGCAGAATTACCTTGGCAATACAATATTAATTAAATTAGTTTACTTAGAAGAATTTTATGAAAATTAGCTGAGCTCAAAATTGCCATAATATTTTCTGAGTTGGTTGACGCAGTTCATTACAGTTCGGCTAATTTTCACAAAATATATAACCACCAGGAATAGTGTACCTTTATATTAGTGAAAGAATTATCCATATTGGACCAGAAGTACCAGAGTAATCTCCGGTAATGTTTGCGAGTTTCTTGTGTTTGTGAGTTCCAAACTCGCAAACATTACCTCTCTATAATATCAGTATAGATTATGAAAATAAATAAACTTACATTGGAACTATCTCGAGTTTCATTTGGTTCACTTTTATCCATTAAAAATTTCATCCGATCAAATGCAAACCATTTTGACACATACGCTTGATCTTGACCTGAAACAAAAATATTGAATTATGTAATTCATATATATGTATATGGTATGTAAATAAATATAACATGTTGACGGATCAAATAAACACTAATAACACTTACCACTTCCCGTTTTAGAACTTCGTTTTTGCTTTGATCGTTCTCGTCTAAATGAACCTGTCAGGCTTACATTTTTGTTTTACATCGTCTACACTAATGTTTAATGTATCACTGATATCACGCCAAGCATCTTCTTTTTTTATGCAATTATAGTATTCTTCGTATGTACTATCCCATAACACCCTCTTTGATTCATATGCATCAATTAGTGTTAAACAAGTCTCTTATCCCACAAGCCACTCATTTACGTTACGTTACGTCTTGCAGTTCCTCGTGGGACATAAAATTATCATTGGCGCTGATGTCAATGCGTCATCTTCATTATGGTATGGCAAGTTGCGTTCAACCGACACGGTTCGACGTTGTGCGGTTGAAGATTTCATTGCGGAAATGAATCTTATTATTCACAATACCCCCGATGCACCACCAACTTTTTGCAACCCAATGGGTGAGTCTTCTATTGACGTGACGCTTACGCGCAGCGACGTCTCGATATCCGGATGGCGTGTCCTTCCGGACGCATCCTGTAGTGATCACCGCTTGATCGTGTACGAATTCATACCAAGGGTTGCACAGGATCCACGAAGGGCCCCCTATAATTTTAGATATAAAACTAAAGGTGCGAACTGGGCTTTGTTTGGTTCACTCTTTGCAACTCATACCAAAGACTTCAGTCGCAGTAGTTTATCAGCTGAGGAAAGCGCAGAAATACTATCAGAAACTTTTACATACTGCGCTGATGTAACTATTGGTCGCGGATCTATCACTAAGGTGTCACTCTCATTTGTTTCACTAGAGTCACTATCTCTTTCACTAGAACAGTTACCTACGTTTGCTTGGCAATACCTTATTATTGGATCTCCATGCATGTTGGCAAACCCATCAGCCATAGATCGTCTAGTAACGCACTATTAAAAAAAAACAAAACGCAAATCCCGGGACTTGGGGTATTTTTTAAAGAATGTTCTACCCAGTCCAGTGGCGACTCATCCCCCATAGTAGTCCATCCGGAATATTAGGTGCTAGCAAAAGTACCAAGTGCAGTATTCATAATACTTTTAACTAGGAATTAGATTTAAAACATATTCCTAATGATGACTTTTTTTTTATTTTTAGTTTCTGCGTTATACAGCCGAACACATTTTTACAATGTTTTTACAGTAGCAAAGTACGTGTTGACTGACTTAAATTTTTTTTTTCAGACAAAACATATTTTGATTTTATAATAGTAGGAGCGGGGTCGGCAGGAAGTGTTATAGCAAATAGATTGAGTGAAATAAAGGAATGGAACATTTTACTTTTGGAAGCTGGAGGTGATCCGCCTATTGAAGCCAGCGTAAGATTTTTTTTCCACCTATACGGGGACGTACCTTCAATACATACCTGCCTACTTACTGAATAGACTGAACACAAAATTTGGGTCAACCTTTTTTTTAAGTAAGGAATGTTTTCGCATCATACCCTCCGTTGGAGATACGGCGGGCATGAGGGTGACTCCCTGAGAACCGGTCTACCCACTAAACCCCACGACGGCCTACCTGGGCAGTCGAGAGTAGCTAGAAGATCGCATCGGTAGTTTCTGGATGACCCATGACTACGGCACATCCCGGAGTGACCGTAGTCACTCTCCTTAGAAGTTTAATCGTTCTTCGTACGTAGTGTAAAGCTAAATGTTGTTACCGAGTTTACATGTATTACCTATATATTATACCAGTTTTTTTTTTTTTGTGAAATAAATTCTTGCTATTTACTGTGTAGTATGTATCCGTGTGGTGACGGATTAAGAATAGAGTGTCACCACCCTTATTCCACCGCGTGGATGGCGTAAGAGCTGACTAATTGAGTAAACTACGAATAAGAATCGAATAAGAATAATGTCCTTCAATATATTGAAGGACATTATTCTTCTTTAAGACTACCACGCAGCAGTATACTCCTGCGTGGTAGTCTTAAAATGTATTGTGCTATTATACCATAGTAAACAATCCATAATAAGTCTAAATAAGCAAGAGCTTTCAGACTTAAAATTAATGCTTACATATTTCGCAGGTTCCAGAATTATATAGAGATGTGAGTCTTTCAAAATACGATTGGCAATATTTAAGTACAAATGATGGAGTTATAGATCAAAGTGTTATAAACGGCTCAATAAATTGGCCAAGAGGAAAAATGATCGGGGGCTCTAGTAACATCAACGGTATGGTTTATGTAGAAGGTAATGACCAAGATTATCAAAATTGGTATAATGCTGGAAATTTGGAATGGAGTGTACGAGATGTTCGACGATGCTTTAGAAAAAGTCAAAGCTACCAAAACCAGCGTCTGTTACAAGATCAAGCCATTTCCAAACATTACAGTCGTAATGGTCCACTTGCTCTTAATATTTTTAATGCGACATATAGACCAGTTACTGAAAAAATTCTCAGATCATGGGATGATATTGGTATCAAGAATGTACCTGACGTAAATGCTGCCAACGTCATGGGCTCAAGCATAGTAACAGCTACAGCTGCCAATGGGGTGCGACAAAGCTCAAGTAGGGCATTTTTACATCCTGTGCAAAATAGAAAAAACTTAAAATTTTTGAAAAATAGTTTAGTGACGAAAGTCTTGATAAAAAACCCATCTAAAGTTGCTTACGGTGTTAAAGTAAAACGTGGATCAGAAATGTACAAGTATTATGCCACCAAAGAAGTCATAATAAGTGCCGGAAGCATAAATTCACCTCAACTAATGATGTTGTCAGGAGTTGGCAACCGTGATCAGTTGGCCTCAAAGAAAATTAAGCAGGTAGTTCACTCACCAAGGGTAGGACAAAACCTACAGGATCACTTAATTGTACTTATTCCGATTTGCAACAATGAATCCAATCCAGAGTCTCTTAAGGACCAGAATCTCGGCGTCATAAAATATCTCTATAACCGTACGGGACACTTAGCACAAAATTCGGATTCAGATATTGTAGCGTTTTATTCTGCAACTAGTAATGCTACTTATCCAGATTATCAAAGTCAACTTTTACTTGCTTGGAAAAACCAATCTGACTTCAAAGACATAATGACGAAGCTTTATAGACTCAAAGACCGTGTGGCAAAACCACTCGTAGATCTAAATAAGAATTATACGATGTTCATTTTTTGGTTTATTTTACTACATCCAACAACGAGAGGAAATATAACTTTACGTACCAAAAGCCCAGAGGATCATCCGTACATATATTTACCCGAATTATTTTAAAAACCCCTTTGATTTAGAATCAACAGTGAATGGTATTCAGAAGTTAACTCGCGTATTGCAAACTAAGTACTTCAAATCGATTGGTGCATTTTTAGCCAGAATGAACGTGCAAGAATGTAATAAATATGACTTAGACAGCAAAGACTATTGGCGATGTATTTCTTTAAATACTGTACAAACTGTATACCATCCAGTGGGAACTTGTGCCATGGGAAGTAATATAAGAGTTTCAGTAGTGGATAGCAGGCTAAGAGTACATGGTGTTAAAAATCTTCGTGTTATTGATGCAAGTGTAATGCCTACTATTGTAGGTGCTAACACAAATGGACCCGCAATGATGATCGGTGAAAGAGGTGCAGAGTTATTAAAGGAAGACTACAAAAACTAAATCTGACTAAATAACTAAAATTTGAAATGTTGTAAAATAATTTAATTGGAGGTGGTAAATAAAAACTTTAAAGACATAAATCCTTTTAAAAAAAAACCGGTCAAGTACGAGTCGAAATCCTGCGCCGAGGGTTCCGTACCTACCCAGATTTTACGTAGATTTTCGCGAAAATTTGTAAGTACCAAAATTTATGTTAATTATCAACTTTTTTTTATTTTTTGGAATTATTCCTTTATTTGTGCTGTAAGACGTTTCTTTATGCCAAATTTCGTGATTCTAGGTCAACTGGAACTAAGATATAGGTTTTCGTCCCAAAACCTATGGGGTATTTCCGGCTGACGTAGAATTGTCAATTTTGGTTAAAAGCAAGGTCTTACAGCATTAGTAAAGAGAAAATTCTGAAAAATAAAAAAGTTGATAATTAGGGTAAATTTTGGGACTTACAAGTTTTCACGAACATCGAAATGTGCCCATATCTTTTTATCTTGTTGACTCAGGACCATGATTTTTATACACCTAATAGGGACCATAGACCTTAGTATCTGGTATAAATTTCAACTTGCTAGATCTACCTGTTCCTGAGAAAATCGGTGGTCGACACACGGACAAGAAAGTGATCTTATAAGGGTTCCTTTTTTACCTTTTTAGATACGGAACCCTAAAAAGTTTAACCGAGTTCAAACAGTACTAACAAAGAGCACTAAAAATAATTACAAATCTAAATGAAAAAACAAAATAAGTGCGATTCTCAATATAACGGGTAACAATATAATAGCAATCAATTATAATAGCAAGTGGTGCCAAGCACAATAAGTTACTAAGTGGCGTGAGAGTCTTCATGCTGAAAA